TTTGTTATTTCACCACAATTCTTGAAATCAATCCGAATCGGTTTGACGGGTCGGAATGTGAACAGTTTTAGCGATAGCCAGTCATCTATTATATTCGGTCAGAACCAATCGCAAGCAAAACGTTCGAAATTGATCAAATTGGTGAATGGAAGTCAAAAATCGGCCCCGACTGATATTTCTTTTTTGAAAATAGTATTTACTAGCACAATATTCGGTGTTGAATTAAAAAGCTTTTGTAAAAAATATTATATTTTTTATTTTTTTATAAACTAAAATAATTTAATTTTATATAAAACATTAGTTTTGGTTATATAAAAATACCCGTACATTAAATGAAAATGTCGATCATAATATTAAATGAAAATGTCGATCATAATAATTACCCGCACAATACCCGTACATATAAAAATACCCGCACAATACCCGTACATATAAAATATTAATTTTATATTTTTTCAATCATAATAATTAAACACCCGTACATTAAATGAAAATGTCAACCCGTGTTAAATTTTTTTACTTATATCATATAAAAATATCGTTATTATTTACTATTACGTAAGTATTAAAATAAATATCTTAAATAAATAGAAATACTATGGTGATATGTATATGCATAAGTGTAGAATATGTTTATTTAATATTAATCAAAATAGATTAATTTTTTTACTTAATTAGATGCCTAATACATCAAGTGTCGTATCAATCGTACTTCACAGTTTTTTAACTTTATATGTAATTTTAAAATTTATATAAATAATTATTTATTCTTATTACATTGACAACATAGCAATTAGATTTGAAATAAATATTATTGTTAAAAGAATACATACCAATTTCTATTACTTTATAATATAATTTATAGTTTTATTTGATATAATTTAATTTAGTTTGATAAATAAATTTAAATTTTATTTATAAGGATATATATTACTGTTTTGTATTTTTTTTTATATATATAAATAAATAATAAAATACAAATGGATTTCATAATATCAATTCAAATGCAACACACCAATGTTTTGAGACCCGGAACGGCCCGGCGGGTCGACCCGGGACCCGGTCGACCCGGAGCCGGAACCGGTCCAGGTGGAGTATTTGGACCGGGCAACCAAGGACCCGGTCAAAACCCGGCCGACCCAGGGCATTGACCCGGCAGGGTCAACCCGGTTGACCCGGTCCATATATATTTTTTTTATTTTTTTTTTGTTTTTTAAAAATAAAAATATGTATATATGTTTATATGGTAAATATTTATCATGAATACATATTATTAACACTTTAATATACAAATTTTATACACAAAACATTTAATTTGTTACTTTTATGTATATTTATATAACAAAAATACTCTATATATAATTTTAAAAAATTTTAAATTAATTATCCGGTTCAGCAATTGACCCGGTGACCCGACGGTTGAACCGGTGACCCGGTTACCCGAGGACCTGCCCTGGCCGATCACCGGGCCGGGTTTAAAAACTATGCAACACGCTAATTAAGATTTTTTATTGACAATATTAACTCTATTTAATGGATGTTATGGGATGGGATATGAAGAGACACTGTGTATTAGATGTAGGGTTAAAAATAGAAAAATAAGAACAAAATATCTAAAACGATATTTATTTTATCAATGATCAATTAAGCCAAAGTGACAAATAATAAAAATAGGAGGGAGTATATATTATTATATAGTTTAGTATGACACATGTTACTTGTGCGACTTATATGTGTTATATTATAATAAATTTTCTTCCTTATAACCTATAACTACATTAAACATAAATATATTAATTGATAAATATTTTATTATTATTATAAAGATAAATATAATTTATTTATTTTATATATACAATATGGATGTCAAATCAAAGCTCATCAAAAGATGATTAATTTAATATATTAAATATGTAAAACCGATAAAGAAATACAAAAGTTATCAACTTTTAAAATATATTTATAATTCAATGGTTATAATAGGAAATAATATTAAAATACAATTAATATAAAGATTAATTTATATTCAAGCCTAACTCCAAAGCATTATTTTCTGTCAAATAGGATTCCGGAGCATGAGAGTTTGTCACGTAGGCTTAGCGCATTCAAAAATTATATTTAGAGGGGATTATATTTAAATATAACCAGAAATATATATTTACATTTATGGAAGAACCAATTTCATTTACAACCCAATATATAGATAGTTCTTATTTTACAAATTGTCTCATAAAAAAGTATTTTTTTACCCAAAACGCACGAAATGATATGCGATTTTTCAACTCAATATATAGATAGTTTTTATTTTACAAATTGTCTCATAAAAAAGTATTTTTTTACCCAAAAACGCACGAAATGATATGCGATATAAAAATCGTATATTCAAATGAACTGCATAATTAACAATTATGCGAGGCAATGTCGCATATCTGCCAGCTCATATCCAAATCGAACGAAAATTTGAAATTCAAATTTTAGAGTAAAGGTTAGGACGGGAGGCCGAAAACAGAGGAAGTGAAGTTTCGAAAACCGACGGCGAAGTTGTCGAAAATTAAGAGAAACGGTTCACCAATCAAACCAAGGACAAAAATCCACTCTTAGATCGACTTATTCCAACTTGATAAGCGTGGAGGAGACTAGATGATATGGGATACCATGTCTGAGGAAATAAATCGGTCGACTAGGCCGAGTGAACCGTCTGGTCGATGAGAACCGCAGCAGGATTGGTGGTGATCGAATGTCACCAATACAGGAGTAAGAGCCTTCGATCTGAAAGATGGCATAAAGGATACAAGGCAGCGACAGCAGGTCGAGCTAGGGCCCTATGATGACCTGATAGAAACTCGACCTGTAGGCATGACTGGTCGTACGATCGACCAGAAAAAACAACACTTAGGCCTCAAACAGTCAGTATTCTACCTCCGCAGACCTTAAGCAGGTTGCATCATCAGGCAGTCTAATGCGAAAAACTAAGGGATAAGAAGGAATCTTACTGTAATTAAGGTTGCACATGGGCAAGTGTAACGCCTCGTTATTTTAAAAGGAAAAATGTCGGACTTTTCACAAATAGAAATAAATTTTTCGAAAATATGTCGGATTTTCAAAGGCTGATGCTTCCGATGTTGAGTCGATTCTGAATTCGTCTTTCTTGTCTGGTGATCTTACTTCTGGCTCCTTTGAAAAGATCGATTTGCACGCCCTCCGGTAATGGTTTCTTCGTTTCATTCCCGACGATGATCTTTAAAACCTTTGGCTACCCTCTTTTTGCAGAATCTTCATAGTCTTTAAACATGTGAGTCACCCTTGGCATTGCTCCCGTCTTTGCTCCAATTACTACGTTTTAGTTCTTAGCGACAACACAGTTTAAAAGTTTTACATCCTTTGCAAACAAATAAAGACAAGCGAAAAAATCCAAAATGCTCAATCTTATTCGTAAAAAAAGTCCCAAAACAGAACATTGAAACATAAAAATAAACACCAGTTGCAAAAGTTTAGGAAAAACAAATCAAAAGAAACAGAAAAACACTACTCTTCTCTCAAGGTACTCGATCAGCTGCTCCCTCCCGGTATGTTCCGATTTCATTCTGGGCTAGCATGTATACACGTGCTCTGCCCCCTCCTTCATGCCTCGGTTGATCCTGTTGAGGCTGATGCTGCGGCTGGCCCTGATTCTGTTTCATCGGTTCTGGGCACATGTGCAATAATGTCCCATCTGCTGGCAGTTATGGCAAGTTCGCTGAACGGCAAGACAATCTCCTACTGCATGGTAACCCCTGCAGGCACCACACCTCTGTCCCCGAGTATCCTGAGTAGGTGGGCGATAGTCTCGTCTGTCAGATCCCCCATGTTTCTTCTTTCGCTAATCACGGTGATGGTCGGCCTTTCTCTTGCCCGAGCTAGAAGTGGGTTGGACAGTAGAGATGGGCTGAGTAATGGTAGCATGTTGGACGCCTGGAATGGGTGCATGAAGAGCCTGACAACTCTCCAACTACTGCGCTCGTATCACCACCTCACCATAGGGCAGGTCTCTATGGCTCGTCAGCTAGAGGCAAATGTCCGAGCGAAGCCCATCCCAGAATCTGGTGGCCTTCTTCTGTTTCGTGTCCACCAGGTGAAGTGCTAAGGCACTCATACGAGCAAAGTCACGCTCGTACTCCTCCACTGTTCGGGTCCCTTGGCGTAGATCCCAAAACTCTCTCTCCATTCTAGCACGGTAGTTCAGCGGGAAGTACTTCTCCATAATAATCTCCTTCATACAGTCCCATCTCAAGTTTGCACGCTCAGTCTGTCGCAACCTCCAGCAGTCGGACCACCAAGTAGCAGCATCTCCATCGAGTTGGAATTGGGGGCAGGAAATACGCTAAGCATCGGAACAGAAAAGCACATTTTAGGTCCGTTCGAGTTTACGGATCCACTCAGCTACAACAATAAGGCCCTCAACTCCGATGAAAGCCGGCGGCTGCATGCCCCAAAGCTGAATGACAACATGAGTGTGGTCTCGACCCGGCAAGGGTGGAGCCTGATGAGCATCCTGGTCAGAAATATTCCTTCGACGAGGCGGCATATCAATAAACGAGGGATTCTTTTTTCTCCTAATGATTCTAACCAAAATACGTTTTCGGTGTGCAACAAAAATTTGTATTCTCAAACTTGAAGATTTACCAAGGATAGCTCATCAATTAGAGCTCAGAATAGTACAAAGATGATAAATTCTTAAGCTCCAAAATTACCTTTAAGCAAGTAATAACAGAACTTACACATTTTCATACCTTTGAGCTAGGGCTGAGCATGGGACTCGGAGAATTCTGAACCGTTCTGAACACTGAACCGAAATCAC